AGAACAGATAAACAAGTATGAAATATTCATATAATATAATACTATCCAGCCCAAAAAAAACCCTGCTACTGATATATGCAACAACAGAATCTCACAGATATATTGAGTGAAAGAAACCAAATGTAGCATGTGATTCAATTTTATAAGAAATTCTAGAATAGGCAAAACTAATCTATGCTGAAAATTTCAGAGCAATAGTTGCCTCTAGGGCTCGGAGAAATGACTGGAAAGGGGCATGAGGAAATTTTCTTGGGTGAGGAAAATCTAAATCGTGATTACAGAGAGGTTACACTTATGACGCATTTGTCAAGATTCATTGACTTGTACACTTAATCGTTGTGTATCTCGTGATTTATAAATTTTACCTCAACAACAAAAATGGAACTTTAAAGAAATATTGAATTCTAATTAGCAGGCTAGTTTTATACAACGATATGGTTTATCAGTTATAAAACTACTTTCTGTGTTTTCTTGTGTGAACAAATGTGTAAACATATTGGGTATAATGAGAGCCTGGTGTCTCACTCTTGGAAAGATGCATAGATTTCCTAACTGTCTGCTGAGAGGAACCAAAGCAGTGACACACAAGTAGCAAAAAACACACCTTGTAATCAGTTTCTGGTTGCTCCATTCCATTCTCCACTAAAAGGAACCAGGCCCCCTTAGAAAAATGACTGATTGTAGGCTAAGAGAAGTAGAAGATAAACATGGAACATCTATGTGCCCAAAGGTAAAGAATTGCTGCGGGCTGGCCCTGTGGCTGAGTGGTTAAGTTCGCACACTCTGCTACAGGTGGCCCAGTGTTTCGTTGGTTCAAATCCTGGGCGCGGACATGGCACTGCTCATCAAACCACGCTGACGCAGCGTCCCACATGCCACAACTAGAAGGACCCACTAGGAAGAATATACAACTATGTACTGGGGGGCTTTGGGGAGAAAAAGGAAAAAAAAAATCTTTAAAAAAAAAAGAATTGCCAAAAAAATGATGGGGACATGTCAAAAGGACAAAGGAGTCACTGTAGAGGCCCCCACTGGCAGTTCAACAGTCACCCACACCCTCCACCAATTTTTCTGTCAATTCATCAGTGGGCTGCATGTTCCTGTGACAGGAACCACACCCTTTCTTCAAAGGTCTGAATCTCTACCCTGTGGTTGGGGAAGGGAGTACATCCTTTAAGTTTCTAAGAAGGAACTCTTAGCCCTAGAGGTAAGAGCTGCACTTTGTAGTTGCTGCGTCTGTATAACGTAGAGTCCTCTTTAACCCCTTTTACTAATTAATTATTTTTTACTACAAAACAATTCTTTATACAAACTTTTTCTTTAAAATCACTGGTGTGGTACCTGTCTCCTGATTGGATCCTGACAGAGATTGGGACACATCATTTCTCTCTTAGTTCTATCAAAAATTACCTAAATATAATCATGAGGAAGCATCAGACAAACACAAAAGGAGCGACATTCTGCAAAATAAGTGACACGTACTTTTCAAAATTTCAAGGTCAAATAAGATAAAGAAAAATTACAACTAACTACAATGCATGACTGTGGCTTGGCTTCTGCGTTTGGGGAACAGGAAGTAATTATAAAGAATATTTATTGGGACAACTGGTGAAATTTTGAATATGGACTATTGATTAGATAATAACATTGGATCAATGTTCTAGTTCCTAATTCTGTAATTATACTGTCGTAATGTAGGAGAATGTCCTTATTCTTAGGAAATACAAATTGATGTACTTCATGGTAATGGGGAAATTACTCTCAAATTGTTCAAAATAAACTAGTGTGTGTGTGTGTGTGTGTGTGTGTGTGTAGAGAAGAGGGGAGAGAGAGACTAATAAAGCAAGTGGGACACTATGTAAACAACTGGTGAATCTAGGTAGAGTGTATGTGGGAGTTCTTCGTACTATTCTTGCATCTTTCCTAAAAACGTTAAATTACATTAAAATTGAAAGTTATCAAAAACAACAAATACATTTAATCCTTGAAATGTTAAATGTGATCATTTTAAAAGGAAGGCATTGGGGCTGGCCCAGTGGCGCAGCAGTTAAGTGTACACGTTCTGCTTCAGTGCCCCGGAGTTCACCAGATCGGATCCCGGGTACAGACACAGCACCACTTGGCAAGCCATGCTGTGGTAGGCGTCCCACAAATAAAGTAGAGGAAGATGGGCATGGGTGTTAGCGCAGGGCCAGTCTTCCTCAGCAAAAGAGGAGGATTGGCAGCAGATGTTAGCTCAGGGCTAATCTTCCTCAAAAAATAAATAAATAAAAGGCAGGCATCAACAAAAGTTCAAAATTGAAAACTGGTTCAAGACGGCAAATTGAATACATGCACAACAGGACTGAGAAACTACTATAGCGGAGGATTAAATTTTCCTTCTACCCTTCTAGGTCCTTTGGCTGCTCTGATAATTAAATTGACATAAGACAGATTAACAGGAGAAAATCAAATTTAATTTCAGATGTACAGGAGCCCCATAAAAATATGAAACCCAAAGGTGGTTAGACAATTGAGGCTTATACCCCACCCTGAGCTAAGGAAGGGGACAGGGCCAGGGGCTTCAAAGGGGAGGAGGGCAATTCACAGGAAGATGAGAACAGGTGTTCAGTAATCAGATGTTTGCCCTGCCATGCAGGTCAGTTTTTCAGATAAAAAGTTATCTCTAGTAATAGCTCTCTTTCTGGGTCAGGCCCTTCATCTAAATTGTTTCTGCAAGTTAAAGTTTTTCTCGAGTCTGCTGGGTCTTGATTACCTTCAGCTCAAAAGAATCCACTCACTGAAGTGGCGCATTTTGGGATGGCATATTCTGCTCCCCTTCACTACCAAACAAATTTCAAAAGCTCCCCAAGCAGATCAGAAATTGTGAGCAGGTAGGACGTATCCGACAGTGAAACCAGAGCAAAACCTGTGGCACAAAATTCAAACTGAATAAAGCTGTTGAGAGGTTAAAAAAGCCATTTTCAACAAAGCCTCCAGCTCAGAGTCAACAAACAAGCAGGTCTGGGACAATTATCAAAACAATGAATTGAAGGAAGAATTCAGAATACCTAGATCTTTCAAGCACGCTCCCCTCTTTTGCTTATACTAAACAGGAGGCATCCTCAGCATTGGAATTTTTGGACAAAACTCCTAGAACTGCTTTCTAAACAAAGTGAACAATTTACCTCGTATGTGGGAGGCAGGTGTGGGTATACTGTCCTTGTTAATGATGAGGCTAGAGAGAGGCAGAGGAGAAAGGCAAGAACCTTGAGACAGCTCTGACGCACATAGCTCCCAGAATGGGCACTGAAGCCTGAGAAGCAGGGAGGTGACCCAGGTTATTTGCAAATGAATGGAAGGGGAAGCTGTCCCTCTCTCCCACTCCCACAGAAGACAAGTTATTCAACCTACTCAACGGGATTTCTGAACCTTTCCCCACTTTCAACATGCATACTTCCCTCCCTCCAGCCCAGTGTTACTCTAGGCAATGAAATGACCAAGAGGCAAGATTTCTGAAATCAAAACTTGAATTCACCAACAAATGAACATCAATTCTAGAATGAAAGCTCATTGTAAAAGGGATTTTTGTCTTTTTTCTCTGCTGTATCCCCAACACCTATAACAGTGTAATTGCTCGGTAAATACTTGTTGAATGAACTGATAAAAGCAAGTCAATAGAAATAATTTACACGCTCAACACTAATGGAATTGCTTAAGTTGCAACCCACACAGCTAACTATTATGCAACCATTAAAAAAATGATTTGTAAAGTTAGTAATATTGAAACTGAGGATGGAGTTAAAATTTCCCTTGATTAGGGTAAAACTGTGCCTTGTACCCACAAAGTTAACATGGGAAACAAAACGAAGTTTCTGAGCTTGCCTTGCAGAACAGTAGGAGGATCGCTGATAAGAAAGGAACTTCCTGACAGCCCCTGCCTGACTAAGCATCTTGCAGGAGCACTGAGAAGCTAAAATGACTGATCGTAAACTCTGGAATCATACACTAAAAATACACGGAATGCAACACATGGAACAGACAGTCACACCTGTGCAGACTACTCCTAGAACTTCAATCCCAAGGCCACATGTTCCCCCTCCACTACATAAAACCCCAAATAAAAACTCTTGCTTGTAGCTTCTCGGAGAGTTCTGGATTACAGAGTTAGCTGCCTGTTATCCCTGCTCAGCATTTTGCAGTAAAATTCCTACTTTCTTCCACTACACCCCGTGTCAGAGATTGGCTTGCTGCGCAACCAGTGAGTGAACTCACTTCACGTTTGATATCAATATGGAGAAACATTTGATAATGTTAAAAATTTTTTAAAGTAAAAGAATAACATACTCATGAGGGAAATACGTAACCTCTTGGTGGGCTTATGTATTTTTGTTTTGTTCTCTGTGTTTTCTGATTACAAATTACTTTTATTATTATAAAGAACCTCATCTTTTAATTTTCTTATTTTTCCCTTGAGAACACATGCAAACCCAACTCAGATATGATTACCACCTAGCCTGAACTGAATGAACCAATTAATAAACGAATGCAGGATCCTGCACAGTCGGGATAAAGTAATGCTTGAGAGCACGGACTCTGGAGACTATACGCTTATAAATCTAACACGCCTAAATTATGGAGCCTGAATTCTGACTCTGTAACTTAACAGCTGTGGGACCCAGGGTAGTTACTTAGCCTCTATCAGCCTTAATCTACTCATCTGCAAAAGTGGGATAAGATTCTTCCTCATTAATGTTAGTGTGAAGATTAAGCGACTCAATACTCATTTAAAGCACTTACAACAGTGCGGGGCACCACAACTATGCGAGTGTTAGCTTCTATTATTACTGGATTCAAAACACTGCACTTGCTCTGCTGAGGAGAATGGAAATCAAAATCCAGTCGCCATCAGCAGAGACAGGGAGGCACAAAAAAAGTGACGTGGGGGTCAGAGCAGAATGAAATCAGGCTAAAGCCAGGTCCAAGCAAGAAGCGGGTATTAGGAAGAAGGAGTGACTCACTTTGCAAAGAGTGACTCCAGGAAGCCACAGGAGAGACGGCATCTGAACCCACTTCCAAGAACGAGTAACACTCCACCAGGCGGCTAGTAAGAGATACGAGGAAGACCGCCAAGGAGCTCGGCAAAGACGCAAAGACTAAAATTGAGTTGCTCGTTGCCCAGGACACCAGAAATGCGGAGAGGATGGAGTGACCAGGATGCATAACCAACCTGTGGTGAACAGAAGCGGTTACAGAGTGTTTATCATGCAAAACGCCACCAGACGGGAGGGGAATGATAAAGATAACAGCAACAATAACAATAACTACGCCCAAGGTACTAAACTGTAGAAAGGAAATAAAGAACAAAGGTGTGGTTGAGAAAGCCAAGATGACCACGACCCATCGCTCTCCACCATCCCCTATGCGCCAACACTGGAGACAACGAGGCCGGGGCCGGCAGACGGAGAAACAGCGTCCCCCACAGGCGGCGAACGGCCTGGAGCAGCCCCGGGAGGAAGGGAGTCAGCGCGAGAACTACAACTCCCACCGAGGCTGCACCACAGGCCCGGCGGCAACTTCCGCCTCCGCCCGCCCGCACGTCCCCTCTTCATTGGGACCTACCAGGGAGCGGGCCTGGCGCGTGACCACGCGTGACCCCGCGTGACTGGGACCCCTGAGTCGAGAGGCCTGGAGGCGGGACTCTGGGGCCTCATTGGTAAAAAGGCGACCCGAAGAGGTGGGACTAAACTTGAAAATCTCGATAGTGATTGGAGTTCATGAGATAAGGGCGGAGCTAGGAGAAAAACCCCCAGGATACTGGCCAATCAGCGTCTAGGATTATCCGGGGGGACCGGGAAGGAGAAAGGGACGAAATGGTTTTGCGGTCACACGCCGCGGGGTCTAGTGGGAGGAGCAGTTGCCCAGCGGCTGCCTGGCGCTTCCTGTTTCCGGTTCCCAGAGTGGAGCACCGCGAGGTTCCTGGGGGAGCGCTGGCCTTTGACACGAGCTCTGGGACCGGGGTCTGCAGTTGGCCCCTTGCTGGCTCTGTCACCTTGCCGGCCCTGTCCCCTTGCCCCAGACAGTTATTCACCCGGCCATTCTGAGCTTTGGCTTCTCCCCTTGCCCGTGACACGTGAGTATGAGGGGCGTGGACGAGGAGGGGGCTGGAGAACGCCCACACCTCGGCGTCTGTGACACGGCCCGGGGTCTCCCTTAGCCAGGGTTTTAGCCAGACATCCGGCTAAGGAGCCCTTGGGCAGAAGGGAGGCGGAGGCGTGAGGGCAGGGAGTCCAAGAGTCCCGAAGGGAGTGAAGTAGGAAGGACCTACCAAGACCAGAGAGGGCATTTACGTGAGTTGGGAAGGCAAGAGGGAGGTCCCTGGGTATGGTGTCCGTTTGAGGTCTTCCTGGACCCCTGTAGAAGGAATTTTGCCCGCATCGTGGAGGCAGGTAAAGTGGCATCATTTGGAGAGAGGGTAGGGCCCTGTGCAGTTGCAAAGTCAGGAGATTAGACGGAATGAGAATTTCTAGAACCCTGGAAGAAGTTTGAGGGGGCTGCCTATACTGTATGGAGAAGAGTAGCTGATACAGGGGTTATCTTGTGTTCCTCTTTGTAGGGAGCTTCCACCCGTGGGACACAGAGCTACTTCTCTGTGGCTTTTCAACAGTGGGCCTTTAGCTAATTAGAGCTGCTCTTCTACAGTGTAGGCTGCTGGAGACAGGAGATAAGGGCTGCTACGTCAGAAATGAGCTAGAGAGAAGAAATTAGCCATTGCATTGAAAGATGGAAAATGCTCAAGGCTAGTCTTGAAGGCTCGGGAAGTGAGTGGTACAGAGGCCCAATGATGTAAACTGCTTCCTAGTTCCTGGCTTAGACATTGGACATTCCATTAAAGGACAGTTTCTTAGCATCACCAAGTAGATCTATCATTATAGAACAAGAAAATTGAGGGGGATTTTCAGAATCTTAAAGTCCTACCCCTTGTGGGCACATAGGTATGGTGACAGATAAAAACTAGACTATATTGATGGTGAGCACAATGCAGTCTCTACAGAAACTGATATATGATAATGTACCCCTGAAATTACACAATGTTATAAACCAAGATGACCTCAATAAAATAATTTTTTTAAAAGCCCCCTGTTTGCAAAGTACCTAAACAAACTCCTGCACCTTGAGAATCTATTTGTAGCACATTTAAAAGGGACTCCCCAGCCCAGCCCTCGGATTTCATACTCTTCCTAATACATTTTTGCACTCCTATATTTATCAGAAGTTTTCCAGCAAATATCTTTATGCCGTGAATCGTCCAAGTTCCCCCGCTGACTTCATACATGTTTAATACTTGTCTAACCTAAGGCAAGTAACCTCTAAGCATCAGTTTCCTCATCTGTAAAATGGGAAAAATTGTACCTAGTTTTCTGGGTTGTGAAGATTAATGAACATAATCTGGATAAAGCACTTAGAGCATGTGTCACTGAATCAAAGAGAAGCAACGCAAACATAGAGCCAAACCTTAAGCAGGAAAGAGAACAATATAAATTTATTCTCATCCTAACTGTCGAACCAGTAAACAAATACTGACTGCAGGTGTTTAACTCGTCATCCTTTACAATTTTGTGAGATTCTTTGTTCTAATTTGGAAAAAGAAATCTTCAACTGTTAACAAATAAGGGACTACCTTTGAGGCCAGAGAACACAGCCTTCTGTGTGAGCATCCCTCCAGAAAACTGGTCCTGGAAAGAAAAATCTTGAAAGCCAAGAATGTTGAAACTTTAAATTAGGTCCTGAGAGGCTATAAGGAAAATGGTGTGCTAAAGTAATCAAATAAAAGGATCTCTTAATTTCTTTTAGTAACTCAGCTGGTCAAGTTGTGTATTGAGCAATGAGTTAATTTAGGGAAGGTAGGAGTTTGAGTTCTTTATTCCACCTCCTGTTCAGTGAACTGTTTGAGGAGTCACTTCCCCTTCTTGCTTTGTCAAAAAGAAAGCGAAGCTTTGTCTGCCTGCTCTGATCCCACAAAAAATAATGTAAAAGGGGATATACTTACAGGTATAACCACTACAGTGGTTCAGTGTAGACCACGAGCTCTGGAGCCAGACTGGTTCACTCCACTAGCTGTGTCTCAGTTTTCTATCTGTAAAATAAGGACAATAATTGTATTTACTACATGGGGTTGTTGTAAGGATTAATTAGTTAATGTATGTTAAGTGCTTTGAACAGTGCCTGGCAGAAGGCAGACACTCAGTGTTAAGTGTTTCCTATTGGTGCTTTAAATGTGTTTATGGGGGCCTCAGGCTTTATGGCTGGCTCTAATTATTCTATGGAAACACCTTATTAATATTACTATAGTGAACTGATGTATGGAGTATACAAAGTCAGGGAGACAACTTCTCAAGCGTTTGTTGCCCTGGTGGAGTGTGGGAAACAGGTCAAATGTAAATTTGTTTGAGGGAGTGGAGAAAATTCATTCAGGGCTCAGAACTTCCATTTTCCTATCTTGAAACTTATTAGTAGCCATTAAATTCTGCCTATGTCAAGTTTTGTATTCTTAAAATGCAATGGAGTCAGTGGACCAGCATGAAAAAGAGTTAGAGGGCTTTAAAAAGTATTCGAACCCAAGTCCAGACTTGTAGTATAGAAGCATTTTATTATAAATGAGAAAGGTTTGGAAGAATTAAATCTTTCTATCAGGAAAATTAGTGATCCTGTTATGAAATTAACAAGTAGCAGTGAGCTGAAGGATCATTAATGGATACCAGAGTGAAGTCTTTCATTCCTAGAGCAGTAAATTGTGAAGTGACTTGGTGATTCTCAAGGGTTGTCAGCAATTTGGAGTACAGAAAGACAGCTGTACTTACTGGAAATCTAGAAATTCTTGAAATTTGTGACTTGTAGAGCCTGAGGTGAGTTTGGAAAACTTCTTCAAACCACTCATTTTGACCTAGTGAATGTTCTCCTTCCTGTAATTTAAATGATTGAATGATTTTTCAGTGATGAGACATTAAAGTAGATAAATGTCAAGTTTTAGATGCTGTGGCTATGTTTATCTCTATTCCTCATTCTTTTAAAGATTTCGTTTTTCCTGTTTCTCCCCAAAGCCCCCCGGTACATAGTTGTATATTTTTTTTAGTTGCCGGTCCTTCTAGCTGTGGCATGTGGGATGCCACCTCAGCCTGGCCTAATGACTGGTGCCATGTCTGCCCCCAGGATCCAAACCAGCGAAACCCTGGGCCGCCGAAGTGGAGCGTGCGAGCTTAACCGCTCGGCCACGGGGCCGGCCCCTCTGTTCATCATTCTTATGATGAACATAAGAATGTTCAGTATGAACGAAGACTGTTGGATGCTCCTGAATATTGACATGAGAAGTTAGGGCCCAAAGTATTCAAGTCTCTTTCTCTATTTTACACGTTTCTTAATAACTTTCAACCAGACCACATCAAGTATTAAATTGTAACTTGAGTGTTATTCTAGGGACAGCCACTGGTTTAAGCCGTGTTTATGAACTAGTTGTAAAATTTAAATAATAAGATATCTCAGTCTAACTTTTCATCAAACAGTAAAGCGGCAAGGCTGTCTACACCCGGGGTGTCATAATTAAGTAATCCTTTTTTGCTCTTTTGTTCCTCTTTTCTCACCCCTATAGTATGTTCTGAAGGACTCACCTACGAATTAGACTGAAAGTCATATATATATGAGTTTCCTGATACAGATGCTCTTGGCACACAGATAGTAAGATTTACTATTTGTTCCATATGCCAAAAAATCTTACACTTTCTGCATAATCAAAATAATCTTCCTTGGTGGCACTTAGGTATTACCTAGGCAATTGGTTGGTCCTTCTGACAGTTTCTAGGACAAAAAAAATGTGTCTTTCTCCCAGTAGAGCAGAGGACTTGGTAAACTCCCTTGAAAGTGAAGATATTCTTGTTTTATACACACCTCGCAGAAATTATCAACAACAGTCTATAGACACTAACCCCTCACCAAGGCCGATGCTGTCCTTGCTGTTAAATGCACATTGTGCCCCTATCCTGAAGAGACACAGGAGGGACAGCAGCTGAGCGATGGCGATGGTGTCAGACAAGGGAGTCAGCTAGGAAGAGGCTTTCAAGATAAGTTTTAAAAAGATAAAGAGAAACCTAGAGACTTAAGGATCCAATTCTGAATATTAAAGGACAAGAAAAAATAACTTGGATGAGAGCTAAAAGCTTGAAATCAACACCAGAAAATGAAACCCAGCTTCATAATAAAGAAGAAAACTGGCTAGTGTAAAATAGGAGGTGGGGGCTGGCCTGGTGGCGAAGTGGTTAAGTTCGTGCACTCTGCTTTGTTAGCCCAGGGTTCACAGGTTTGGATTCCAGCTGTGGACCTAGCACCATTCGTCAAGCCATGCTGTGGCGGCGTCCCTCATAAAGAAGAGGAAAATTGGCACAGATGTTAGCTCAGCGACAATCTTCCTCACAAAAAAAAAAAAAATAGGTGATGGGTGGAAGATGAAAAGGCAAAAAAATATATGTATACCATTTATTTATTACACATTCATATATGCTTTCTCTCTTTCCCTTCTCTCCTGATCC